CTTGGAAAAGTTACCCTTTTGGACTACATCTTTCAGAATCTCCCTTATCTATCACAGCTAGAGGCTGAGGGATTCTGAGAGCAACAGTCCAATAACAACAACAACAACAACAACAACAACAACTACTACTACTACTACTACTACTACTACTACTACTACTACTACTACTACTACTACTACTACTACTACTACTACTTTTCTAAGTTCTGACCAGGCTCCAGTTTAAGACCAGAAAACAATACAAGACTAGGATGTCACACCTACTTTTCCTTCGAAACAAAAGGGGCAGCATGAAGCAGGCTTTTTAGACAGTGGTCAGCTAATCATCCCAATGTATTGTTTTGTATGGCCCTTATTTAAGGGTTGAGTTTTCCATGGATATCACACTGGAATATAAAAATGATTGCCTAGGTCTCTGGATGCATATTCTGGGCTGGGGGCGGGGGAACAAATGTAAGAAAGAAAGAAAGAGAGAGAGAGAGAGAGAGAGAGAGAGAAAGAAAGATATGAGAATACAAATGTCTTAATTTATAGGTAGAGACATGAACATAGACATCACTGTTAAACAATTAAATAGTGGCTGTAATTTAAATGTCCTCGAGTATATCGGGCAAAACCAAAATAAAAATAAAAAATAAAGACTAACAGCTATATTTTAATGTGAGCTTTCATGGACAAATCCACTTCTTCAGACATAGAAGTGGGGCTACGTGGCAAATATTTCTACGTTTACACATGAGGCCATTGCCAGAGGAGAGTGTATTTTTCTCAAGAGGATACCCTGTTAGTCTGTTGCAGTAAAACAGAAGTCCTGTGGCACTTTAAAGACTAACAAGTTTTATGTGGCACCAGCTGTTGTGGACAAGAGATCATTTCTTCTGGTATATGGAGCACAGTCTCAGTAGAAAGAATTTATGCAAACAAGTGAAAAAGTACCGTGTCTGAGGAAATATCCTTAGAAAGAAACCATGAGAAAGAATCCAGAGCTCCCATTCTTTTCCATATCACATTTTATTCAGATGAACCCTTTCCTGCACACCTGACGAAGAAAAAGAACTGTATTGGGGAACCATTCTGACATTTTATCAAAATTATACAGCTGCTGCAAGATGTTAATGGATGAAGGGGAAGGGAGCATGGAGAAGCAGATTACTGCAGACAAATTCTGTTATATTCCCATATGATGGTACTTGTTGAATTGTGCTCCATTAGAACTGAGTCAGACCACTGTTAGTCATCACTGACTGGCAGTGGCTTTCTCAAATTTCAGGCTGGATTTTTTTTCCTTGCTGCAATTGGAGATGGATGGTATTTCCAGGTGGTCTACACTACCCAAAGGACTAACCATGCCCAGACCTGCTTAGCCTCCAACATCAGGTTTGATTGAGTGTGTTCAGAATGTAGAGTGGTAAAGATGAGCTAGCTTTTTAAACCGCTTAATATCTGTACATGACTGTAAGAATTTCCATCAGAAATTCTAGAGAGCACTACATGATGGATATGCAAACCTTTTAAACAACTTGATTAACCACATTGCCAAATCTGGTATCTTCAGCCATTTGACAGCTGTTCATATTCAGTCATGTTTGCTGGGCATAAGCTAGGAGCTTTACTGTGAAAATCATGCATTCCTTGTTTAGTGCATACTGCTGTCAAGTACAGTAGCTTTCATTAATAATCACTGACTTGCATGAAGGAATGCATGATTTCAGAATGATTTAATACTCATGACTGACTAATACAAGACTAGTCAAATGTCATGCCATTGCACATTACGAAGGTATTTCTTCTCCCTGTTTGCTGTCTCTGGGCAACACTGCACAGTTAATACCTGTTCTAGTATAACTAGAAGAAGTTCTCCATTCCTAGTTTCATGTACATGTAAACAGATTTTACTTATCTTCTGCTTTGGTTCTTTTGTGAGTATGTTAATGCCTGTTCTAGTATAACTACAAGAAGTTCTCCATTCCTAGTTTCAAGTTTCATGTACATGTAAACAGATTTTACCTATCTTCTGCTTTGGTTCTTTTGTGAGTATTTTACATTTTGAAAGGACATTTTAATTTTACAAATTAAAAATGGAATCTCTGGAACAAAATGAACACATGCCATATAAAGTAAAACAGCTCTAGTCCCAACGGTTTAAATGACAGATGTTCAAGTATGTGTGGTACATGTAAACATGGATGAATCGTATTAGAGCCTACATGTTTGCAAGGACATAGAACAAAACACAAAAACACATAGAACAGCATGTAGATAACACGTAGAACAACAAAACACAAAAAACTCTTAGCATACACAAATTATGATAAAAGAAAAAGACTGAAACCCACACTTTGAGAAGTTTGTGGCTTTCTATATGGCAACTATGTTGCCATTATTTTTATACCATCCTACATTGGATAAAGGCAATATTCATCATCCACAGTAGTGCTCAAATTCAGTCACTTATCAAAATAAATGTTTTAGCATTATGCTCAAGGTCAGGGCTAATTTAGAACCCAAGAGACTATTAAATGTTTTGTCCTAGCTTCACAGGTGCTGCTTTTCTCTGAATTGCTCCCAAATGGATGCAATACACACTTTGATTACTTGCCGTATTGTGCCGCAGTGGCTCATATGGCCTGTCAAGACATAGGCCATTGGCCTCCACGACAGTCCAAGTCTTAAGAACAAATGAAATCATGGCAGAAAATCCACACATGAAAAACAGACAGAAACCCAACTTCCACACTTTATCAACTTTACCCAAAATGGTGCCTTCCAGATATGTATGCTACAACACTCATGATCATCAGCCAGCTGTAGGCTCAGGATGATGGGCATTGTAGTCCAAGCTATTTGAAAACAACCCAGTTGTAGAAGTCAGCTTTAAAAGTTTAACTGCATATGGCAGTGGTCAAGGAGAGAGGTTACGGGACATCATAATAACTTTCAATGCCCAAGCATGAGTTTAAAAATCATTATACCTTCCATAATTGCCAAAGCTTTAAGAACAGATGAAATCACTGTTGGAAAGTAATCCACAGAATAAATTACTAAAGATAACAGCCACATTTAAATATATAATAGCTGCTGAAAGTTTAAAGAAGCTGCTTACAAGTTCAAAGATGACCTCATGTAACACAGCTGGAAGGCAACTATGATCCTTGTGATCATCTACTTCTTAAATCCAATTAAAATTTTTGCATGTCACTTATTAACATGTTGTAAGAAAACTAGCACATTTCTCATATCTCTGCCATCCAGTAGACATTCTATTTTTGTTGAGAATCAGTGGTGATGATGACAGTGAGGAAGGAAAGGATCAACAAAAACATGTTCATGATATTAATGTTATCACTGTCTACTGTTTGTTTAATATGCAGGTTGGTCCCCTACAGTGCTCAGCTTTTAAAGACAGCATCACTTATAGTCACTGTCTGTATCCACAGAAAGAATTTGGATCTTTATGGTTATTAATGGTGGAGAGATTCAGACTTTTGTGTCCTGCAAGACCTAGGGCTCAACTCCACTGACAATAAAATCTGCTGTTGTACCAGGTCCTCCTTTTTTAAAAAAAGACTTAAATTTTAATGTGCACATGAGATATGTGCATGTGAGAAGCACTATGGCAAGGCAGAGAGTTTTTCTGCTTCTCTGCCACAGGTCCATTTATTCAAGGTGGTGGCAGCAGTGGCTGGTGAGGACCCGCACACTGGCATAAAAGTTTTGGATTCAAACTAGAGTCCATGTGAATTTAGCCTGAATGTTTTTTAAAAAGATCCCTCTGCTGGTTTATTCTGGCAGTGGGAACAGGCCCAGAGTTTGGAGAAAGAGGAATAGAATATGTTATCCTGGAAAAAGCACACTTCTATTATTAGAAGAGCAAACATGAACAAAGCACATTTCAGCAGAATCAGTATCTGTTCTTCTTCCCTCTGAGAAGAAGAGGGAAGATAGATTCCCTCTATTCCAGTTATCTGCTGGAATAGTTACTGGGCTAAGGTGCAAAGGAATAACATACGTCAGAATGCACCTGAAAAAAAGAGAGAGAGTGATCCACCAGCAGCAAGAAAAAGTCAATCCTTTCTGTTTCCAAACAGTGCCAATGCACAGGGAGTCCAGGATTCTGCTCAACCACTTCATTTTTGCTAAACAGGAACATATTTCTAACAAAAAACACTAGAACTACCAGGACAACTTCGTCTTGAAGTGCTAAGAATGGAAGGTTTCTTTCTATTGGAGGAGACTGGTCAGAGATCTACTCCCTTCCTAACCGCAAACATAAAGCCGCCTAGGTGAAAATGTGACCTCCTGGTCATCTTTGTCTTTTGACTAGGCAACAACCTATTTACTTCATTGTTACCAAATGGAACAAAATCCATCCTAAAGCAGGCAAGCAGCTGCCACCACCTGTTATGTTAAATAATAGCATGTTAAATTATATACAGTATTAGAGAGATCTAAGGGCCTGTTGATACTGGGCATTTCTTCAGCTTTCCTTCCACCCATAATACTGATACAGCATCACTCTGTCCACATGACATAAAGTTGAAACTATTAACAGACTAAATGTGGGACAAAAATACTTGTTTGTTTGTTTTTTAACACCACTGCTTGTGGCAGCGTATTTTTCTTGTGTTTTGTTCCAAGTTGTTCCAGAGAGGGACCTGCCTGTTGACCTCAGTTCCATGTTTTTTATTTATATGTCTCACAGTGTTGCAACATATAGAAGGATTGTATTAATATTCACTTGTAAGACATTAAAAAAATTAAATGAGGGTACATGTAAAATACAATACTATATGATTAATTATATATTAAAAGAAAGGAAATTAATATTTTGGGTCCAAAATTGTGCTACATCAATTACTGTACACCATCTCTCCCCTTTTCTTCCATGCATGTTGCTGGACATTATGAATGTTGCTATAAAGTCATGTGGTTTGGTTTTCTCCTCATTTGCATTATTACTCCACCAGATGGATATCCTGATTTCTCTAATTTGTCTTTAGATCATCCAACACCACTTCATAATCTCTTCAAAGACTTCCACACATCTCATCCAGCACATACTCTCATGCTAGCTGCTCAGCTGCTTCCACCCATTCTGCCAGGTGGGTACATCTAGCTCTCTGTGTGATGTAGTGGATAGAGTGATAGACTAGGACTCAGGAGGCCTGGGTTCAAATCCTCACTCAGCCATGGCAACTCACTGGGGAGAGTTTAACTGGTAAAACCACTCTTTAAATATCCCACTTACCTTGAAAGTCTTAGTAGGGTGCTGTCAGTTCCAAACTGACAGCACACAACAACAACAACAACAACAACAACAACAACAACAACAACAACAACAACAACAACAACAACAACAACAACAACAACAACAACGTTTAAGAAGCTATTTCTAGATTTCAGTCTTTTCCTGGAAGGTTAGTGCTCATATAAAGGATGAGCTACCTTTTCTACTTCCTTACTTCTTTCATTCTTTGCTGTCACTTCCTGCTGTATATTCTTTGGGGCAAGAGTATACTATGCTATATATTGAACTGTATATTATATTGAAGTACCATGTTGATGCATGCTGATCTGTATACCTTGTGAGTATCTTTAATTTCATGATGTTCCCTTATAGGCATTTTTCTGCTGGTCAGTCTAGCCCCCTCTAATTCTTACTGCTGCTCGTTTAGTTTTCTTGGGATATGCACAATTAAGCAAAAATGTGAACGTCTGAGAAGAATGGTGGGGAAAAACCAGTGGGGAAGGGAGGAAAGAGGGAGGGAAAGGACAGAGAAGATCATAGTACCTGTGTCTGCTTTTTTATGTTACAAAACCAAAAACTAAAATGAATTAAAATTAGAAAGCAGTAGGATAAAAACCAGAAGGTCTAAGAATGGGAAAGGGAGGAGAGAGTGAAGAAGGTGGGAAGACAGCAGAGAAGGCATTAACTGTTCCTGCATTTTGCTATTTTAAATATATATTATCACTTTTGCACCATAACATAAAAATAAAAGCTACATATAAAGAAAGTTAACATTAGGAAGCACTGCTGCCAAAATATGGTTTGAAAATGGTATGTGAGTAAAACAAAGAGGGAAGGGAAGAAAGGATGAAGGAGGCAGGGAAGGGGGTCATGAGAGGAAAAAAGAACAGCAATTCCCATTGGGCATGATACCTGAGGGACCAATTCTAGAATAGCATGGACAGCTCGTCCTGGGGTAATCTGTTCAATCCCAGTAATGTCAGCTATAAATACCCTCCCCATATGTGGATGCCAATACTAGAATTATCTATTCAAATCTGCAACCCAAAAAAACACCTGAATGACCCAGAACAATCAGGGACAACACAACAGTGTGAATGAGCCCTGCATGAGGTGCCACGTGGAAAACTTGCAGGAGTTCTCTGGAACCTGATTTGGAGAAGACTTCACGGGTTCAGAGCATCCACCTCAGAATGGGAAGGGGCTCTTCCCTTTTAGAGTGATCTCTGAACAGCCTGTGTACTTTGCCTGTCTCCGTTACCTTCCTGCCTAGCTTCTTACTTGTTAAGGGATTTAGAGGACCACTACAGCTGTTACGCATAGTAATGCTGCTGCACTGGGTGCTAGGAAAAGGCAGAAAAATCTGAGTTATTTAATTCATTATTACTGATTCTCACACGCACACACCAAGGGACAGTGGAGAGGTGAATATGAGATGTTCTGCTTTTTGGACTAAAATCATTTTGGGTAGTATTCATCTTGACCTATGTGGGCTAGGGTGCCAATTTTTTTGTTCTGCCTCAGTCAGTACAAAATTGTGGGCTGTCCTGGGGATTTATATTCATTATATCCATTTCTCAAGTAACTTAATATTAAATAATAAATCACGACAATAAAAATAATAAAAAGAGCAAGTAAAAATAAATGGAACAATAACACCAAGCTCATGCATAAAATATTTTTGCAGAACAGCTCATATCACTTAACATGCAATATTCCTAACTCTGTGTGATAAGGTGTTCAACAGAATCTATCAAGCCTGAACCGTTGAACAGGGATGGGCCTGGGAGATTAAGCAGGTTTGTAGGTAGCATTAGGAAATGTGGGTCAATGAAGTAGCCCTTTTTAAAAGGCTATCAAGCCTCCATATCATTAGTGTCTAACGGTCCTACTCCTGACGCTCTCTTTTTTCTGTCTGTGAGTGCTAAGCTGTTACAACTTCTTTCTCTAAAGATCAAAGTTTTCTGTGCATTATGTGTGGGAGAGAAACTGTGATGAATGTTTTTCAGAGCTGTTTGCAATCTGCACCTTCATCCTAATCATTGGCACCATCCTATTTCTCTTACAGGAGAGCAGAGCTTAAAGGCATAATAAAGAATTGAGGCGGGGTGGGGAAAAGACAGTGCATATCTAGTTGAGCAGGACTCTTTAACCTGTTTGGGCAGACATTCAGACTATGTTTCATGGAGACAGATTTCCAGAAGGCACTAAACATGTTCCCAGTTCTCAAGCGTAGTCTTGCCTCTAGCTGTGTAAATGTGCTTTCTTCACAAATCAGAGCAGGATGAAACTGGGTGCTAGTTCCTTCCCCTTCTCTCCTTTATTTGCTGTTAGCAGTTCAGTGCGTGGGAAATCCCCTCGTTCAAAGCTGCAGTGATTAATCACAGACATGTTCCTTAACAAAATCAATAATGTCTGGCTTCAGGGTAGCAATTATTCTGTGAAAAGAAATGTCACCAGCTAGAAAATAACAGATGGAGAAAACAAAAATAAACAAGTGTGTTTGCGCACATGACACACTGGAGATTTGCTTACACACAGAAGGACTGATTTTTCCATATGGGGAACCAATGTACCTCCAGAGGTTCCTGGACTACAGTTTCCATTGTTCCATGAGCCACTCTGACTAAGGCTTCTAAATGTTGGAGTCCAGTGATGTGTGAAAAGTGACACGTCCCTCAACGTGATTTTATCACATGGATATCATATAATCCATTCAGACATGGGCACAGTTTTATATATGAAAAGGAAGTTACGCTGAGTCTAGTGAGGGTTAGTCCCAAGTACTGGGTATGAAACTGCAGTCTAGCTTCTTTACATTTCATTGTTCTACACTTGATTATTGGACCCTTCAAGCGAAGTCTTGTGTTATGATGACAGTTGTGGTAAAACATTCTTCCTCTTCTTGAGGGTCTCCCAGCTTTCTAGAGATGGGGTTGAAGAGGCCACAGGCATCTGTAGGGTTTGTCCCACCCTTTGTTCTGTTGGGTTATTCATGTCTATTGGCAGCAGCCCACCATCCAATCCTGCCTATTGTAGGCGAACTCACATAGCTGAATAATGGTGTATTTGAAGGATGCCATAAGACAGTAAGTGTCTGTGGTATTGAATCTATGATGCATCATTCCTACACGACTCAGGCCATAGAACAGGAAGATTGCCAAAACAATACCATTCGTTTGTTCTAAATAACTTACTTTAAGACCAGGAACTGCTTGTCGATTTTCTTATTCACTTTCTAAGCTGTTTTCCTCTACGAAAGAATGAAGAATGACAACTGCCAAAGTGCAACCTTAGACAATGTGGGAACAAGCCCTATTGATCATCACAGCACATGGATCTGAGTAAACAGCAAAGGATTGTAGCTATGTGATACAGTAATAGTCCAAATCTGTACCCCTACTGCCTGTCATATTCCCGCCTGTCCCTTGGTTGTTTCACCAAGAAAAGGCACAGGTTACATGTTGTTCAGCTGTCACCAGTTGATTACATCAACTTTATTTACTATTAATGACAGAGGTCCAGGCAACTACCATTTAAGAACCAAGTAAGAACCATTTAAGAAATTGTTTGTTACAGGTGATAACAGTCCGGTCAATGTCATTAACTCTCAACTAAACAACCTTCTCTCTTCCACTCTCAACTGCCTACTCTTTCTCTCCCTCTCCCTCCTTTTCTTCACCCCACTTAACTCTGCCCCTCACCAACTCCTATTGGTGCATGCAAATCTCGTCTTAAACATTAATGAGCAGGGCGAATGCTACACTGCCCAATATTAGGTGAGGCTGTTAACTTGAGCCAGATATCAGGGGAATATTATATTACTGCTGAAACAGTTGTACTAGATCCCAGTTGGTTTCCAGGCCCAGTTTAAAGTGATGGTTAACTTATAACTATATGAAGCCTTACATGGCATAAGACCAAGACATTGAAGGATAACCTTCTCCAATATGAGCTTGGTCACATATTAATAGAATATTAATAGAAGCGCTCTTATGTGTTCCAAAATCACTCTTGAGCAAGACTAGAGAATGGACAGTCAGTGGCTAAATCTAGACTCTGGAATTCTCTGTCCAGAGATCCACCCAGTACTTTCTGCTACAGTACAAAGAACCACAGTTGGTGGGTTCTCACTGTTTTTCTTATGATTTTATTCCAATTTTTTCACTCCTTGAAACAGGGGTGTGACATGACCCTTGCATGTCCCCAGATTATTTCACTAGTCTGAGGCCCACGACACGTTCCCTCCTTTACACTACTATCAGTTGACCTCTGTCAACACCCTTTAATTAGAAAGACTGAGGTCCAAGCTGAGTATAAATTTGAACAAGACCGGTTTATTGATTACAGTTCACTTAAACAGATTCTTCACAGACTTTAAAGTATTCATTCAATTAGTAATAACTTATTTCACTCTTAACTCTCTTAACTCTCTATAAGTTCCACACTCTTAACTGCCTACCTTAACTCCTCACTATACCACACTCTCTAATCCCCACAGAGTAACTTTTACTTCAGACTCTCATCTCTGATTCTAACTCCCTAACTTCTGTCAGACTCTTCTCTCTGACTTAAAACAGGCTCACTCCCCAAACTCCTCTTCTCTGCCTCACCCCGCCCTTCTGGTTTCTCTGGCTCCACCTCCCAACAGCTCCCATTGTTACATGCAAATATCCTCCTACATGATCGCCACAAGGGGCGACTGTTTTTAATATAAGTATTGGTATAGATTGTTAAAAATTCAGATGTCATTTAGATTTCCTCATAAGGATTACCTCTTTGACCCACATATGTAAAATTGTCTAATAATTGATATTCCAACAAATAGTGTTAGAATTCTTGTCAGCTGCAAGTTGGGATTCAGAACATGAGAGGGAGGGGAAGAATAGATATTGAAAAATCTTAAAAGGCCTGGAAGATGGAAAATGCACCCCCTCCCTCCTTAGCAACTCATGTGCTGTTGCCGCAAGAGCTCTGCTGCCTCCTTTTTGGATTCAGATAATTCTCCTGGCTGGCTTGCTGCTGTTCCTCCATTTTGGAACTTGTCATTGTTTCCCTTCTTTTGCCCTTTAGGATTCCTTCCTGTTTACCCTTTTGTGAACTGCTCTTGGTCTCATTACAATGACGATTTCTCTTTCTCATTGTCTCCTGCTGATGAACTGAGAAAGAAAAGGAAGAGGATGTTGTTGTTTTGAATTTATGCAACTGCCCAGAGAGTGCTAGCACTATGGGGAGGTATAAAGTCTTCTTTTCTCAAGGCTAAACATGTCCACATCTTTCAATTTCTTCTCACAGGGCTTGGTTTCCGGCCCCTGATCACCCTTTTTGCCCTCCTCTGAACTTGTTCCAATTTGTCAGCATCCTTCTTGAAGTGCTGTGTCCAGAACAGGACTCAATACTCAAGATGAAGTCTAATCAATGTCAACTAGAGGGGAACTAGTATCTCATGGGATTTGGAGACTATACTTCTGTTAATGCATCCTAAAACAGCATTTGCCTTTTTTGTAGCCACATCACACTGTTGGCTCATATTCAGTTTGTGACCTACAATGACTCCAAGATCCTTCTCACTTGTAGTATTGTTGAGCCAGGTATCACCCACCTTCTAATTGTGTGTACATTGCACTTATCCTTGTTGAATTTCATTCTGTTGTTTTCAGCTCAGTGTTCAAGCCTATCCAGATCTTTTTGAATTTTGAGTGCTCTGTAGGGCTTAATTTGGTCTAGCATCAAAAACATGAATGGGTAAAAAAGAACTGGAAGAAATGGAAGAACCCAAAAGAGCCTGTCTCTTTGATGTTTAATGCAAAGACCAGGACACCAATTATCTGAAAACAAATTAGCCCCCTGCCAAAAAAAGCCCTGAAACAAATGAAAGTTTTCCCTGTGCACATCTCTAGCAACTGCATAATCCAACCTATTCCCTTCTGTGCTGATGTTATATGAAATATCCAATTGTAGAAAGTGGTACTCAGGCAAAGGCAGCTGTCTCATTAACAAGCCTTTAAGAAAGAAGTCAAGCCTGCCTCTTTACAAGTGTTTGATTTAAGACTTATTGTGCAGCAACAAATGAGCAACACTGTTTTTGTTGCTTTTGCTTGTATCTGCTGAAGATGATATTCAAGCTGTAGGGTTTTTTAATTACATTAAAACAAAATTAAATAGATTAAAACAACCCTTTGAGATGCAATGGTTTCTGACAGCAGGGGACCAGACAGAAATGGTTTTGGAATAAACACAGAATCCCAAGGTTCCCTTCCTATAAATGGAATGCATTCTGACCTCCCCCCCCCTTATGGGTGCAGTTGCCAAAATGTCATGTTGTCTGACACTGAAGAACATACAAATACAATTACAAAGGAACACAGGAACCAGCCCAAGGAATAATGAGACTACAGATGGTCCACCCATTAAAATCCCTTCTCAGTCCTGGACAAGTCACTCTCATAGCTTCCTACTATATAAAATGGGGAAAAAATTACATATGTGCCATACAGATTTGTTTTGAGAGAAGTTCTGAAAAGTATTTTTCTAAATAAAGATACTACTGAAATAACTGATTACTACAGTTTGACTACACATCCAAGGCTTAATCTGGGCAAAGCTATCACATAACTCAACCTATGATGAAGACGGGAAGCTTGTTCTTTTCAATTGTGCTATAGTCATACCTCCCTCATATTTGGCTGACCATGAAGCAGTCTTTGGCAGATGCAGTATTCATAACAGTAGCTTCCAAATCTCAGGATCTGGACATCTCTGCAACTTTGGACCAGCATATATCATAGAAATAAAATGCAGAGAGACCAGTCCTATGGTCCAGCTGAGTGCCACTGTTTGGGGTTTTCAACATAAAATGGTTAGTCTATGATACTCCCTTAGCAGCAGTGCATTTTTTTTAAAAAAAGAGGAACTCTATTATGCCAGCCATGCATATTTTAGCTGAACAGATACCGACAGAGACAAAAATAGACATTTAACGCAGGCAATTGTGTTGACTATTAATAAATGTTAGCTGCTACTCAGAGTCCTAAATGAACATGATAAAGTATGTGTGTGTTTTTAGTAAGAAAAGGCAATACTATTACTTTAAAATCTTAAAAAAAGTTGTGTGTGTGCTTGTGTGCATGCGCAAATGGGGGCGCAGCGCTCACACGGGCATGCGCAGCATGCACAAATTAGCTGTGTGGGGGTGAATACGTGTGCAGGGGGCGGGCAGTCTGTCTTTGCGGCCTGGTTCGGCTCAGGCCACGGACCAGCACCAGGCCACAGACTGGGGGTTGGGGACCTCTGCCCTATGGATAGAGGGTCCTACTGTATAGTCACAAAGATGTGAGCCTTGGAGGCATCCAGTTTTCCAAAAGTTCATAGCAAATGGAACGTAATCATCATTGTGGCATAGTGAATTCTGCCGGTAAAGAATCTGCAAAGCAGGAGTGCTGACTGCATTGTCATAGTTTCTAGAACCAGACAGGGTTTTTTTTTAAAAAAGGAATGGCACCATTGTGTATCTGCAATTTCTATTGATTTTATTCTGTAGATTAGTCATCGCTTCCAGATGCACTCCCTGGCTGATTCCCTTCAACAATTACAGCCTGGTCTCAGTTAAGCCCTCAACTGAACCACCACAACAATACATAGCATGGTCTCTGGCTCCCTGGAGTGGCCAGTTCAGGTAAATACATTGTGAAAATACATGTTTCTAGATTTTTTTTCCCCTTTCAATCATTTGCAAAATTTCAGACCACAGATAAGTGAAAACATGGATACTCATCCAGCAGATACCGGGATCCTACTGTATGCCCAGCCTGAGAGAAACAGATGTCTACCCAACTGTCTGCAGCACTTCTGCAGTAATGTGTTCAATGCTGAAAGGGAGACAGGATGGAAGTACTTTCAATTTAAAGACATTTTAATTGAAATCCTATTGGCACTTGCATAAGATTTGAGTAAGTCGCCATGGCTACCTGCAGCTGATTGATGAAAGTGCTGAGGTACATCTGGTTGAACAAATCAGGCACATGACCAGGCATGTGACCCAGACACTCCTTGACACCTTTCAATTAGCCAGGGCAAGTTACTCAAACCTTATGCAAACACCAGTATACAAGCATTGATAATAGTTAAATTTATTGCCTGGAATCCATAACCTAATGCCACAAGGCCAATGATGGCATCAGCTATGGAGAATGTGACAGGAGCAACTAAGTTCAGAGGCTGGCAGCAAGTCCGGCATACAGGAAGTTTCAGATTCAGTCCCTGACAGCCACACTTAAAAAGTTGCTGGAAAAAAGTGTTTGCAGGAACAAATACCCCACTAAAAACAGTAAACAAAATCAACACCAAAAACATGTTCAAAGCAATAAGTCACAACAGTCCATTCAAAATCCCAACCCAGGCAGCCAGTCAATAAGGGAAAGCTTGACTGAAGAAGAAGGTCTTTGCCTGCTTATGAAAGGACAGCAAAGATGGGGCA